TATTTTTTTAGATTTAAGGAAGCTTTAAGATTTTAAAATGTAATACAAGATTATTCATATAAGTTTGTGGCGATCTTCTTGTTTGGTTATAATTCAAAAACAAATAACCGTAGACACTTGAAATGTATATCATATTATTATTCGTTTGGGGTTACTTTGCTCCCCTCAAGTTGACTCCAAAAAAAAAACTGGTGATTGCACTGTTTGACTTTGGAAATAATGATGATTAAATGTTTGTTAGTGCGTTGGTGGATAAACTTTTAAAGTTACTTCACATCTTATTTCCATAAATGAAGGCAGTTTTTTCTGTTATTAGTGCGTTATCATTTGTGACACCATTAAACGTGGGAAAATTAAGCTCTCAAACTTTTCTTCTTGAAGCAGAGAGCACGTGGATTTTGAAGGCAAGATATCATTCTTTCACGTCAGAAAATTGCTGTATCAAAATTTGAGTTTAAACAGTTTTTGAATAATTTAAAAGCAAATTTCATGATTGGGGTAACTTTGAACCATTAAAAGGGGTAAAATGGCACCCGTATTTTACTATAGTAATTTGGCGCAAAGATTCCCATCAATCATTATTTCCATCCTAGATTAGATAATAGTTGATTTTTCTCAATAATAGGTAATCCTGCCTAGTCTTTATTTTTCATTGATAAAATTGCCTTCATTGTACAAGGAAAAATTAAAATGAATACATTTTTTGTCTATTTTTCTTTTTTTGACCTCTTCTCGCTATATGGAACCTTGTTTTAAATTTTCAATCCTTAGATATAAAAATGTAACATTTTATACATTTTTAACTACAAAATAATTATTAAATTTTAAACTTGATAAATTAGCTATATCAAAATTCGAACTTTAAATACTTATAAAAAATAATTGTGACAATATATTTTTAATATTTTTCAACTGTCATTTTTACAATATACTATTAGCCTTGTAATAAATTTTCAAGGTTTTTAACCCAACGAACAAAATTTGATTGACCTCTATTGAAAAATATAAAAAAAAAAATTGAAACTGAAAATGTCCGTAAACAGCTCAAAACAAGTCAAAATATTTTTTAAATACTATGGTGTATAGAAAATGATAATATAAACTTTCTCAATTGCATGTATTCATTTGTTTTAGAGTTACAATATTTTTTAAATACTATGGTGTATAGAAAATGATAATATAAACTTTCTCAATTGCATGTATTCATTTGTTTTAGAGTTACACAAAAAAACTAATTTTCGGTTTTCCTAAATATTATGTTTGTTTTCCTAGACAATTTTGAAAACTATTAAAGATTTTAAATTCAACCTACCAATGCACTAACTTAACTCAATTTTCCATCGAGCAAGATATAGTAGGTGGTTGAAAATCGAATCATTATTTTGACTACTTATTGTGAACACAGACATATAAAAAAAAATTAAAAAACACACACCATTGCAAAATCATTACATTTATAGCTCCGCTCAGAATCTAAAAATAAGTTCAACTCACGTAAATAACTGACAAAGTGCCCCCAATGCAAGGCTCCGTAAATCTGTTTTTTTTTCAGCCCATTTTATCGTCCATCATTTTTAGTCTAGTGAGTGATATATTTATGAAAAATGGGTAAATTCTACTTATAATATTTGAAATTATATTTTATTATATTTTGGTCATGTTCATATGTAGATACTTGGTAGTGGGCTTGTCATTATAATATTATATTGTAAGTTTGTATAATTTAAAATGGATACCTATCGGGTATCTTACAAACATTATTAGATTATTATAAATATTATTGAAAATAAATTTTAACGTGTTATGAACTGACTTCTTTCATATATTTTAACGATTTTGCATTCCGTTTTTACAGCATAAATATATCGTTAAAACAAATAAAATATGTGATATTTAAGGATTTTTATAAAACTACCTCATATATTACTACTATATATTTACCTTACAATTAATATTTTGAAAAAAACCATCACCCAATAAATTGAAAATTAATGTTGGTAATAATTCAATTATTAATAGTTTAATATTATCATGTAATAATCAAACAATGATACACTTTTTTCGATGAAAACACTCAGCCCATAAATTTAAATAACATTATTTATTAATAATAATTTACCTGACACTTAGAAGTTTCTTGCAATATCGTAATCGTTCACTTTTTTTAAAATAAATTTTTATACCCATACATAATAAAATTATTGAAGAACGTACCTATAATTACTTTTAATGGATTATTTAAATGCACTTTATTAAAATAATAACAATATAAATTATCATATCCGTGAAATATTAAGTAAGTAAATATAACAAGATATTAATTATAAAAAATAAAAATAAAATTTTAATATTATAATATAGTTATAAAGAAATAATAAAACAGTAAAGACTGAATACATTTTTTTCGTTATTAGGATTTAGAAGACCGCGGTACACATATCTACAATTTAGTAATGACAGCCTACCTATGAATAATATTATATTTTATTGAAGGCATTAAACTTAATGTAACTCATTAATTATAAATTGTAATTGTTATTAAAAACCTTTTTGGAGTGGTCAAATGTCATTTTAATATATCTATAATATGTCAAAAAAAACTAAAGAAATCACTTTTATGATTTTGATGAATTATTTCAAATGTAAATTTCAAACGCTTACAAAAAAATGTTGTTTATGTATTTTTGATATTTTTCAATTGCTCAAAGTACCTATATTTTATGAAAAATTTTGAACTAAATTTCCAAGCTTTTTTTACAGAGCGAAAATGATTGTACCTTTTAACATTTATAGTTATAAACTTGACTCAAATACCTTTTTTAATATTTTTATTATTGTGAATAAAGTAATCAGTGTCATCCTGGGCCAAACCAATTTTCAAAAAAATAATTTAAAAACGTTTTATAGATATTTCTCACATGATATGGATCGATATAAATATATATTGTAGTATAATATCGATCAAACATCACAGTACGTACCTATTTCAACATAATCATAGATTCTAAAATTATGATATTATAATTGTATTATTACCACGGGCTAGGACATTATAAATTTAGTATCATTAAAATTATAAAATGTATATTATATTATTATTATAAAATTATTTAAAGGATCCAAACACATACCACTGGGCTATATATTATAGTAGGTCAATGTTGGTAAATAATTTCATTCATTTCTTGAAAAATATGAGTCGGGGCATCGGAGGTGATCGCCTCCTAGCCTCCTGGGCCAGGCCGACACTGAAAGTAATTTATATATATTTACCTATTTACGTGGAACCTTGTTTTACATTTAAGTTATTCGTTTTTGAATTACAACTAAATAAGAAAATCGATACATAAGAAATCGAGTGTGTCCAATGTTGTAAAAATACAAGTTAAAAAGTTAATTTTGTTTCAACTTTTTAACATAAATAGTTACTTTTAAATTTTAATGAACTTAACTGTTAACTTATTAAATGTATTTTTTAATTAAAATGAAATGAACGAATTAATTTTTTATTGTATGAAGCAAGTTAAGTTAATTTATTTTGTTTTTGTTTTTGTTTTTATTATATTCAATTTAAAAATATATTTACCGTGAATTGTTTAAATTTTAAAATTTAAGATTTATTATTTATTCAAATCTAACTTATATGGAAATAGGTACTGTATGAAGTATAAACACTATATAGTCTATAATTTAGTTTTTGGTTGAAAAAAAATTAAGTACGATAGCGTTGTATAAACAAATTAACAAAAAGTGTGTATTTACTTTTAACTTGACTGAGTTAACCTATAGTCAAACTAACTTTAAACTTTAAACTTTTTGTTATTTTTGTATATTAACTTAACTTAATTGAGTTAAAAAAATCATTAACTTGCCCAGCCTTTTTTACTTTTTTTTGCGTATGAACTTCAAACGCTCATAAAAATTTAATTTGATTTGTTTCTAGACATTTTTTTTTTTTTTTTAATAAAGGTCGAAAAACTTATGAGGAATCTTGTACTACCTACATATTTTTCAAATCTTAGATTTAAATAAAAAATTTTTATGAATTTCTAACTCAAAATAATTTACACATTTTCATAAATTGTACGTATATTGTCAATATTTGAATTTTAAATGATTAAAAAAAAATGGTGACAATGGATTTTCAATATTATTTATCTATCTTTGAAACATTATATTATGAGCCTTCTATTAAATTTTCAAGGTTTTTGACAAAAAGAACAATATTTGATTGACACTTATAGCAAAAAATTCAAAAAAATTGGAAACTGAAAATGTCCGTAAACAGCTCAAAACAAGTTAAAATATTTTTAAAATACTATTTTGTATAGAAAATGCTAATATAATCATTCAGTCAACATTATGTTAATATAGTAATTTGTTTTTGAGTTACACCAAAAACCAAAATCGGTTTTGTCGAAAATAGATTTCGCATATAAATTCCTGTTTCACGCACCTTTGAAAACTACTGGAAAACTTTTGACCCCCTCAAAGTACCAACTATATTCACTTTCCTAGTTTCCTTTCTTATCAGGAAAGGTAGTGTTGAAGAACATCCAAACACTTTTCCTAAAAGGTGATGATTGGGTAATTCCAATAACAAAAAAAATAATATTTGTGAGAGAGATAACCCTATACAAGAAAAATTATATTATCTAATAGTTTTCTTGCGTTTTGATAATCCATTAGCACAATATATAATTATTAATTATTACATACGATCTATATAATATTGCACTACATACTACTGATGGTATTGTTTAAATAATACAAGAAATGCTGATAAGATTTATGAAACGTAAATACTAATTACAATAAAAATTAAAAGTGTTTTCTTACTCATATAGTTAAAGTATGTACTTACATATTGAGTGACGACGTAAAAGTAAACTGTAAGAAAACTATATAAATTACCTACACCAACCATATTAATTATTATCATATTGAACCACAGCTTATGTGTGGACAGATATTAAACCTTTTTTATTTCTCATAAAATAATGGCTAAATTCGTAATTTTGATATTTGTGATATTACTTAGTGTTTACCTTACTGAACAAGCACATTTCTTAAGTAAAGATTATATAAACAAAATTAACGAAGTTGCTAAGACTTGGAAGGTAAGATTCGAGTATACACGTTCTAATTTACAATAAATTTAATTGACTATCAATACATAATATTAAATATATATAATAACATAATTATACTTAATAATATGTGTACGTAAATGTGTAATAAACATTAATTTTTAAAAAGTACATATTAAACATAAAAGTTATTTTTTTATAACATGTTTTAAATACAACTTAATGGTTGTACGCGTAAGTAAACTAATCTTGTAAATAGAAAAATATAAATTAAATTAAATTATAGTAAAACTATGGCATACTTATAAATGAATAAAAATGTATTATTAATGTACTTTAGGCCAAACAAAATTTTCCCGAAAATACTCCCAAAGAACAAATCGTTCGGTTATTAGGCTCAAAACGTCTCTTAGGCGTTTCCAAAAGTCCAATCAAGGAAAATGATGAATTGTACATGGATAATAGTGAAGTTCCAGAATTTTTCGACTCCAGATTAGAATGGAAATACTGCAAAACAATCGGACACGTCCGTAATCAAGGAAATTGTGGATCCTGTTGGGTAATGAACGAATACGAGTACACAGTTGTGCATAAATCTATTGCACAAGTGCCCACTATCAAAACTTGATACATTGTATTATGATATATTGTTCAATAAAATAAATGTATATATAGGCTCATGGTACCACCGGAGCGTTCGCTGATCGACTGTGCGTAGCGACGAATGGAGAAGTCAATCAACTCATATCCGCCGAAGAGCTTACTTTCTGCTGTCACAGATGTGGTTTTGGATGTAATGGAGGTAACCCATTGAGAGCTTGGCAATATTTCAAAAGACACGGCGTTGTTACCGGAGGCGACTACAACACTACCGATGTAAAATAATAGATTAATTTATAATACCTGTTTAAACTATATCGAAAGACTCTGTACATATAAGTGTATAACAATGAGTAATTTGAACAATTTAACAGAAAACATATAAATACACATTCAACTTTATAAAAATGGTCTACAAATTAAAAATATCATAATATTATAATATATTACATGTAGGGATGCCAACCGTACAAAGTACCACCTTGCGTGAGAGACGACGAGGGACACAATTCATGCTCGGGACAGCCAACCGAACGTAATCATAAATGTTCGAAGACATGTTACGGTGACGATACAGTCGTTTACAAGAATGACCATTACAAAAGTAAGTCGAAATGACCGCATTCAAACCAAGACCATGGTTGTGAAATTATTCACAGAATTAATTATATTTCGTACATGTAAATATAGCGAAAGATGCGTATTTCCTCAAAAACACAACCATGCAGAAAGACACGATGGTGTATGGACCCATTGAGGCGTCGTTCGACGTTTACGATGACTTTATGAATTACGAATCGGGTACGTTTTTTTTAAATTTACTATTTTATTATAACCGACTCAATTATGCATAACACTTACATATTACTTATTAGGCTACTAGGACTGCAACGTCTAATTATTAATATAATATATTCCAGGAATGTAGGTACTATAGAAGGTGTTCAAATCTCCTCCCATGGAAATCAATAGTTGTGGAATTTATTTATATCAATCATCTAAGAACCCCCCTCCAAAACCTACTATAAGCCTCCCCGATTTTTTTTATTGCATATGTGCATGTAATATTCTTAATATATAATTGTTCGTAATGGCAATGTCTATCACGTGCGATTTCATGTTCACAATACTGCCATCATGTATAATAAATATTATAATGAATATTTTTTATAGGAGTTTACCAAAAGACCGAGAACGCATCGTACCTGGGTGGACATGCAGTTAAAATGATCGGATGGGGCGTAGAAGAAGGTACACCGTATTGGTTGATGGTCAATTCTTGGGGCGAACAATGGGGTGCCAGTGGGCTGTTTAAAATACGCAGAGGCACAGATGAATGTGGTATTGAAAGTTCATGCACAGCAGGCGTGCCTTCAGTTTAAGACACCTATTATTTTATTGGGAATGAAAGTACTAGGTACATTAATACTTCACCCACTATTCATTGATTGTTTTAATATAATTATAATAAATGTACACAATGCCAACCTAGAATGAACCAAATATAATTACATTAACCGAATTAGAGTCATAAGTGACAATATATTATATGGTTTTTATGTATTTATTTGTACACCAACGCTAACTTGTAATCATAATGGGATGTAGTATTGTAGTATTTATATGATTATTGTACAGTATGCAATTTTAAATGTGTAGTACAAATTTAAAAAACGTATAATCATAAATAAGCACTCAAAAAAATGCCCAAAAAGTGTTTATATCATTGGACTCTATATATTTTGTATTGTCATTCAGTATTTTTATATTGTTAGATTTATATCAATATAATGACACAATGACATAATATTTATGATAACAACGGATTGCTACTTTTAATTTAGGCTCGTACCGCGTGCCACACGAATGACCAGTGCCGCATTTAGACATTTTGCCCCCCGGTACAAAAAAAAAAATTGACGCCCCTTAAGCCCTGGTGAAAAAAATTGCCCCCCCTAAGGGGTAAACCCCACGAAAAATATGGGAGATAGATCCTCTTTAACCTTTTAGATTTTGAGCACAGAAAAGTATATTTGTTTTTTGTTTATGTTTTTGTTTGTTTATGTGTGCTTTTTTTAAAAATATTATTTAGTAATCGCTTGATCCTCTTACCGCAAAGATACATTTGCATTATGTCACTTAAACCTTGCTTATAATTCATCATATAAGTTGTTTTTTTTAACATATTTAAGTAGGTTATATTTACTTCATGAATAAATAAAATATAATTATATAAAACTATGCAAATTAATATTCATTAAGAAAATTTCAAACAGCATACCTAATACTATATTGAATATAATACTATTATACTAAACGATGCTTATGCTACTATACTTATACTGCGAATGACACGATGCTTAATTGCCGTATGCGTCAAAATAAAGTCCAGTGAAGAAACATATCGGCCACACAATGCATTGCATTGCGTTATGACCGGATGCGTTTAATCATACCTATATATTACCTACCTTAAATCTCGGAATTTATTTAAAATAATAAATTAGTAAATAATGCCTAAAGTAGCTCCATCTATTTCAGTTGCATACACATGTAGGTTCTGGAGCTCCTCCCCTTTAAATTTTACACGTATTTACAAATTTTAAAAATATGTTAAGGTTTTAAATTCAAAGACAATTCTAAAAATTTTTTTAATAATACTATTGATTGTTTTTTGACATAACCTGCAAAAGGAGCGTTCCACATCACAAAATGTTTTCGGTGCATACTTCATGGCTGTTATTTCACGATGTGAAAGATTGAGCTCCATCGTGTCTTCATCCGCAATACCACAAAGAATGTTTCTTATACATTTAATGGTCTTCAGTCCCGAATTTTTTTTTCATTTTGTTCTTTAATAATTCAGCTGTTGGGCCCGCTGATTCATTCATTTTTGAAATTTATAAATCAATAATTTGTATGCTTTCACTCAACGGAATCTTGGTGTATTCTATTTTTGAAATTGATTCACTCAAAAAACTAAAATTAGACACAATATATGATAGAGCAGACTTTATATTAGGTCTCTCAAAAATTTCTTTTCCCTTGGAAATTGATGCTGCATGTTCAGAATCCAACATAGATACTATATTTTTAATTTCATCATACAATTTGGAATAATAGTTTAAGGCTTGTAATTATGTCCCCCACCTTGTTATTATTGGCTCTGGAACAAGCTGGATGTTTGGATAGTTATTTTTGAATGTTTCAATTCTACTTGGAGATTTTAGAAATATTCGTTTAGTTGTTGAAATTAATAAATCAACATCGGGGTATTGACATCTGACAGTTTCAGCTACTCGATGTAAGCCATGAGCCAAACAAGTTAAGTGAATCATTTTCGGATACAAAACTTCTAAAGCATTCGACACTTTAATCATATACGGAGCTGCGTCTGTCATAAATAGTAAAATATTGTTCATGTTGTATGTTATTGGGCCAAATTAAACTCATTGAATCATTTAACAATTTTGCTATTGTTTTTTGGTTACATTTTTCTAAATTTTCACACGTTAAAAGAATTTTCTCAGAAGGCTCGGAATTCAGTTTCCATACAATAACATTGCCAATATCAATGTTTCAATAATTCAATGTCAGTAGATTCATCAATAGAAACCCAAATAGGATAATTTTGAATTAAATCACGAATTTTATGTAATATTTCTTTGTAAATAGTTGAAACGTAATTTTTTCTAAGAGTATACTACGGTCTTTCATAGATTTACTTTTTTTTTAGATTCTGAGTGAAACGATGAATGTATCCATTTTACAATGATGTGTGTTTTTTATTTTATTTTTTATTTTTTTTGTGTCTGTCATCACGTTTTAGGACAGTAAAAGTGCTTGAATTTTCTTCAACAGTAGCTTTTCTGATAGGAAAGTGAATATTATATAATTTATAGGCTCTTAGTATATTGTTTCAAAGGCAGATGAAAAATATTAAAAATACATAGGCACAACTTTTTTTTATAAGCATTTAAAGATCGAATTTTGACAAAATATATCAAAATTAATCAATAATTATCAATCGCATGAACACAGTTATTTTTTACAGACATTTTAAATTCAAATTTGGGCGAAATTACATAATAAGAAACCTAGAATAACTATTTTAGTTATTTTGTTGTGATTTATCAAATTTCAAATTGAATAATTATTATGTAATTAAAAATTTATAAAATGTTCAACTTTTATATCTAAGGATTAAAAATTTAAAACAAGATTCCATTTAAGTAGTTAATTCTGTAATCTGTTACCAAAAAATCTAAAAAATACACAAGCAAAGTTTATTTTTATAGTCAATTTAAGTTCAAATTTGGAAGAAATTACATATTAAAAACCTAGAATAACTATTTTAGTTATTTTTTTGTGATTGTATAACATTATTCGTGGGTACTTATTGAAACTTTTAAAGTGTACTATTATTGTATATCTATGATAGTATCAGGGTTTTTTATTGATGTATAACGCACCATAAGTACCTAATGGATATTGTGATATGATTAATTTGGAATTTATTATAGGTATCTATTATAGGTCAATTTTATGTTATTTTGTTGTAATTTAAAAATATTATTCGGGGATATATGAAACTAAAAAATCAAAAATCAAAATATTATAGCCTATCCATACAATCTACCATAGTATAAGGAATAAGAAGTATGCTCAATGATAAGACTGTGCATATTTTTTTTTTATTACCATTGATATGTATATAATATGTCTTAAACCTAGACTGACATACCGTCTCCTCTCAGAATCGTTTTTCTTATACAATGATATTATATCGTTGAATTCAAATTTAATATCATCCATTATACAGTGACCCACTTGTAACCTACTGTACAGCAGAGCGACACCCACTTGCCCACCTTTTTCAACTTTAAATGCTTATAAAAAAAAATTGTGACTTAGGATTTTTAATATTTGACCTTCCGAATGCACCAATTAGATTCACTTTCCAATCGAACAAGATACTGAAGTTGAAAATCGAAGAATTATTTCGACTACTTATCGTGTACACACTGCACAGTCACAAAAAAAAAATAAAATAAAAACACACAATTATTATAAAATTATAAAATAATTTATAAATACAATTTAAATGAATTACATTAATTTTTATTTATTATATGGTTTTTAGAAATACAAAAAAAAAACAAATTTTTTTCACATTATTAAAATGGATGGCAAAGTAACAAGTGCTTACATTTTCTTGTGTTAATATTTACATAGTAAAATCTAAATAGTAAATGCTTCAAAATTTTAAATTATATATATATTATAACAACGATAGAATTTGGCAACTACAGTAAGATATAAAACTAAAAAAAATATTATTCTTTAGCATTTTAACTAATTCAAACTAAATAAAAAAATAAATAATAATAAGTTTTAAACACTTAAATACAAACAGTCTTAAGAACTTTTTAAGTATTAAACAAATTAAGTATTATACATAACGCTCAATAAAAGTACCACAGAGGCAGTTGAATAAAAATAAAAAATAATAAAAAATAAAATAAAATAATAAACAGTCTATACTCTATATTTTTCTAGAACCTATCCGTTTTAAATCTAAATCAAAGATTACAAAAATATTATAGGTACCTAAAATAAAAGAGTTTCTCTAATCTATAAATTATACCATTATCAAGTTATGACAAATCAAAATATTTCTAGTTAGAAATAATATTATATTAACTATGGTTCAGGAATCATTGGGCTGGATGATGAAAAACTATTAGGAATAAACTCTTTTTTAGATAAATCATCTGATATTTCGGATTTATCCTCAGAATCAAATTCATCCAACTTTCCGATGGCTGTTCGGACTAAAATATCTGCAAATAAATACAAATTTAAAATACTAATGAACAAAAACAAATTAATTTTTAAATGATTAATTATTTATCATTTGGTTCACTTCTATAAACTTCAGAATCATATATATGTCGCCATGACATTGAAAACACAAAAAATACAAAAAGGAAAGTTGATCCGATTCCTAAACAAGCCGATACTATCGGCCAATGAAATATGAGGTATCGTAAACCACCGAGGTTAGCAAAGATGTTTATATTGGCAGAATAAATTTGAATATCATGGTTTAACATCTCGAAGTAAATGTCTGTAACTGGATGTAACTATTAGATAAAATGTATAATATATTAATATATAATATAAAAAAATATCAATTCAAAACTATGCCAAAAAAAAAATGTATAAGTACTTGATCTTCTTCAAAATCTGTATACATTTCTAACTGAATTAATTGTTTTTCTGCTGAAAATCCTGTCAGGTAAAATGGTACCATAAACCATGTATGAACAGCACGGTACAGTTGGCTCATGTACCTTAATCTACTGGGTCGACAAGAAGA